TCTTCTTCTTCTTCTTCTTTTAAGCAAAAGAAAAATGTCCATTTTTTCCGAACAAGGAATTAATTAGACTTACTTCCCAAAAGACCTTCCTTGTAAATGACGACGAAATAACAGTACAAAAATATCTTTACTTGCTTTAATACTGTCTCCAGTGAGTCCCTTTCTACTTTTATTTATATGTAGATATGATATTTGGCAGGCGTCTGAAATTTGTAGTGAGTTCAATCTCCCCTAGGTTTTCCACAAACGTCGACTTACACTGGACAAGTTTTCGGCTTTTTTTTTTTATCAAATGCCATATCAGCTTAGGAAGTAGGCAACCATGGTTCTCCACACATTCCTTTTAACTATTATCCACAAAACGCCATACCAGGTTGTGAAAGATTTCCTGTTGCCTTCTCCATAGTTTGGAAGTCAAAGTTTCCCTTCTCTAAAAATAGGCGCAATCCAAGGCTAGATAGTCCAGTCTACCTTGCTATTTTTCTCCATGTTTAATTGGATTGACTTGATTTTACAACATATCAACCTTTTGAAGGTTATTTAAAGCCATAATTTTTTAGATTGTAAGACCATTTAGAAGATAATAATGAATCACTAATAGAAGTTCTACTAATTAACCCAAGCAGGAAGGAGATGTGAATTCATACATTTCCCAAAATATTTTCTGGCTTAATCAAGAGTTAATCATTATAATCCTCCTTATCTTCACTTCTTACCATCTTTCATCCATATCACCCATCTCATTTATCATAAATATTTTAACAGTAACGCTCTAGCTTGAGCGCCTGAAAGCTTTAGAAAAAGAAACCGGCTACCTGGTTACAATCAAACGTGTTTACAGGAGATTACTTCTCCTACAAATACACACTGCCCACTTATGTGGTGATATATCGACGAAGCAAAGCAGATAAAAACATCATTAGCAATAAATATATTCAAATGACATCCATTTTCAGCGATAAAAGAGGGTGTTCCTAGTCACCCTCAAAAGGGGGAGGTCGTTTTGATCATGCAACATTTTCTGATGATGCTTTCATTTAACCAGCATAGAGCTATTTCTATCTGCCATCGGCATGGCTGAGGCTAGACTCCAGTAGCGCAACACACTGCGCCTTCTTGGCTTCACATTTTCCACTGACTTCAAGTGGAGCGACTACATAGAATCAATAGCTGCATCTACTGCAAGGAAAGCTGGGTCACTGTATCTTGACAGACAATTTTTCTAGTTAGAATCTACCTTGCACATTTACAAATCTACCATTCGTCTGTACATTGAATGCCATATCCGGTCTGATGCTCCTGCCGTACATTTCTAGTTTCGTGACAAAATCCAAAGAAGGATCTATAATGTAATCGATCATGACCAGGCATCTTAACTTCAGTCACTTTTTCTCCGCCGTAACGTGGCTTCCCTCTGCCTTTTCTACAAATATTTTCATGGTAACTGCTCTGACGTGCTTTTTTCTGGTACACTGTCTACATTAATTTAATCGTGTTACTAGATTGGCATCTATATCACAGCCTTTTATTGTTGAAATAGCGAAATACGATCTCTTCTTCTACTCCAACAGTTACTTTTCTCACACTTCCAACCTGTGGAACTACCTTCCGTTTACTTGCTTTCTTGATTACTACAATCTTATCTTCAAAAGTTTAAACGCAACGCCAATCGCCATCTTCGGTCTTTTTTTGTTCATCTTTTGTCCTTTCCTTAATCTTCCTTATTCTCAATCTTCTCTTTCACTTTTATTCCCTGTAACCCCCCGGTATACTAGTGGCATCCCCGCCTTGCTTAGGGTGAAATTATTTTCTTTTTTTAATTTAACCAATCGCTGGAAATCATTTAGAATGACGTCGTAACTTCCTTATTTCTTACTTTTTTCGTCTTCTAGATTTTTTTAACATCGACGTTTTCATACAACTCTAGCTTCATTCATGGAATTCCCCATGAGAGACAATCTCACTAGTTGCAACTTTTAAGATGAGAATGAAATGCAATTAGAGGACGCAGCGAAAGATGCCTTCCTGAAACTAAACAAAGTTTTAAAAAATAGAAATATTCCGTTAAAGATAAATAGAATGCTGAAACTCATATATCTTCCTCTATGGCAGTGGATGCTGGGCAATTTCCTCACAGATGAAGAAGAGACTTGAGTCAATAGAGATGTAGTTCTACAGAAGAATTTTCAGAGCGTTATGGGTATCACACAGGAATATCTAAAAAGTCGGAAATTAAACAGATAGATATTTAAAATTAGAAAGAGACAGAAAGAATTTCTAGGGCACATTATGAGGAAGGACGGCTTGGAAAATGTATACTCACAGGAATTATCCAGGAAAGGAGGTGTAAGGTAAATAGCAAGCAACTTAACTTTGTGTGAGTGGATCGCAGTGCAGGTACAAGGAAGGATAGTAAAGATTTAAACGTTGCCTCAAGCTAAAAGAGGCAGGAAGTTGTGGACATCCATGATCGCCCACCTCTTGAAGGGACATATATGATGATGATGATATGATTATGGTTAACACTAGAAATCGAACATTAATATTTCGTATAGATTCAGGATGATCGTGTTTCAGCTCTCGGTTCAAACGAAGCACGATATCGATCGATCAAAAAGAATATAAATACGTGCAAGTCATCGATTTACTACTTGGTCTGGACGTCACAACGTAAACATATTTGAACAATATGTGGGAAAAGATATCTTCTGCTCCTGGCTCCAAACCCACAAACTTAAACGTAAATTGGCAAACTTACAATCTACAAATGCGTACTTATTAAGATTAGCCTAGTCTGGCACTGTGTTTCAATACAGACCAATCGCAAAGGTAATGGCGGGCGAGATTTTTATTGTATATAGTCACAAATTCTGAATGATGTCATGAACTATATTTTAAATATCCTACAATTTGAGAAATGCGAGACACTTTTATGTGCTGTGTCCCTTCGGGACGTGAATGATGGCTCTCCACAACATCCTATCCCTTATAGCTCTTAGCGATGTTTGTCCTCTTACTATCGCCTCTTTTCAGCCATCCACGTACAGATTATTATGTAGTGTACTCGATATTTCCGTCTGTCCCTCTTTCATTCAATATATCATGAGTGTCAAATTCTCCAAGCACTCTTTCCTCATTATGTGTTACGAATATTTCAACTATCTCTTTTTTTATTCTAAATGTAAGTATCCTTTTTGTTTCTATTTTCCTTAAAATATCCTCGTTGCCGGGTTATTTTCATCATCCTTCAATAAGGAAATGACCCTGCGTTCACTTCTATATAGGAAGATTGAAAATGCCATCAAATTTTGATATTTTTTAATGCTATGTCCCTTCATAGAGTAGCTGATCATGGTTCTTCACTGACTCCTACTACCTTTTTAATCATTTCACCTCATCCCAAGCAAGGCAATAAAGCCACTAAGACTCAAGGAGTTACTGACAGAAACTGATAAATCGTCGAAGAGAAAGAGGACATTAAAACACCAGGGTTCTATGAGACAGAAGATGACGAATGACATTGCATTTAAACGTTTAAAGATCGTAGTCGACAGGCCAGTAACAAGCCGGAAAAGTGTTCCACCAGCAAGAAGTGCGAGAGAAGAATCCGTTAGCATAGAACTTACGGTTATGTTTAACATTTTGAACACTGAAATGATGAGACTGAGCAGCCAATCTAGTACTGCGGTTAAGTTCGAAAAATCGTGATACCAAATAGAAAAGCTCATCAGAATAATTACGATGAAAATATTTATAGAAAAGGCACAGAGAAGCTACACCACGAAGGTTGGAAAGTGACTGCTGCCGAGATGTCAGGTCAGGACTGATAACATTGAATAATCTTCTTTGGATTTTGTCAAGATGCATAAGAGAAGCACTTGACCAGACGTTACAATAATATTCGATGCACTGGCGAATGGTAGCATGTGCAAGATTTTGTCGAGAAAAATTGTCTGGCACAATGCAGCAAATTCCCCCAGAGCAGGCCTAACAATTGACTCAATATAATCGTTCCACAGCACGTAAGTGGAAAACGTGGGATCGAAAAGGTGTAATGAGTTATTCTTGTCGAGGTTAGCATCAGCCATGGTGATCGAAGTTAAAAAAAAGGTTCTCTTATTTGATTAAAGGAGAGCAATTTCATTTTGGAGACTTTAAAATTATCAAGTCATTTCTTGCCCCAATTAACAACAATGACATTGTCGAGATTAACTGACAATTTGACGTTTTCAAACCTAGCAGACTTACTATTAAGGCAGAACTAAATAGCTGTGTTATCAACATAGATCCCAAGTCAGAAATATCTCCAAGGTTTTTCAATTCGGTTCCTTACAGAAATTCTCTCGTAAATACAGCTATGGGTTAAACAGTAAGACTTAAAGCTGGAAAAATCAGAATCATTCTCCAAAAATTGATAATAAAATATTCACTCGCAAAAAATGAATTATTATTACAACCCAAAATGTTTCAGTTTTCAATAACACACAAAGGGTCGATAAGCCGTAAAAAACCGAATTAATTAATCAAATTCATCTCCAAGATTTTGAATTCAGAGTTGTAAACTGTAAACTTTGTAAACATCTACAGAAATGGGTTTTCCCTATTAGTTAACTCACAGCTAGAGATGGGGTAAGAGTAATTCAACAGATAGGGGGAGGGTGCTTACAGTGTTGCGTTGTAGTGTCTAGTTATAAATTCGATTTCTTAGATATGAGCATTCGATTATTATTGGGAAAGATTTCTTCTGTTTCAAATTCATCGTTTTCTCTTCTTTCTTTTTTTATTAAGTTGAAATTATTTTATTTATTTCTAAAGCTAAAGCCTGGAAAGATTTAGTTCCTCAACCCATAATTTCTAAAGAAGGTTGCGACCGTATCGCGCACGGAGGTATTTAGCTCTTGCTTAATAATCTCTCAAGGGGGATTTGACCGCTTGGGATCAATAAATTTTATCACAGCGGTAGAACAGGAAAAACTATAACTCTTGATAATAGTTTCATAATGCCAAAAACCAAATATCCATCCTTGCACTTGTCTCGATATGCCTTGGTTTCTGTCTTTCTTTATTCCCCATTTCTTTTCATCTCGTCTTTTTTATTTCTTTTCTCCTTCTCGTGTTCTTTAGACTACTCATTGTTTTTCTTCTGTTCGTCTTCTTCTTCTTCTTCTTCTTCTTCTTCTTCTTCTTCTTCTTCTCATTAACTACAGATGTTACTTTTCCGTTTTATATTTTCTCTCTACTTTTCCTTTTCCTCTCTCTACGTCTCGCTTTCCTTCTTCTCTTTCTTTTTTCTTCTCGTTCACTGTCTCTCACTTCTACGCCTCTTCCTCGCAGTTTTTTTCTCACGTCTTCTTTTTTGTCTATTTTTCTCTTTCATATCTACATTTTCGACGACCTATTCCTTTTCTCCCCCGCCTTTTACATTTCTCCTTTGTTTCATCCTTTTCTTCTTCTCCGCCACTCTTTTTTTCTCTATCGTGTTTATCTTCTTCTCTTCCTCTTCTTTTTCGTTTTTTTTTTATCCCACTTCTTTCTTCTTCCCCTGATCCTCTGTTTGTTCTTATATTCTTCTCCCCCTTTTCCTTTCCTTTTTCTTTTACTCTTCTTTCTTCTCCTATTTCCCTTTCTCCTTTTTTCCAATCTTTTCTTCTCTTCGTCGTCTTCTTTCTTATTCTCTTCCTACTCCTTTTCTTTATTCATCTGTACCTCTTCCGCCTTCCTACTACTACTTCTTAACTTCTCCATTTTTTTTTTTTTTTTTTTGCTCCTTGTCTTCTTTTATCTTCCTTCCCTCCACACTTCTGTTCATTCTCTTCTTACTCCTTATAATTCACTTCTCCTAATTCTCTTCTTCTCCTCCTCTTTCTCTACTTCTTTTCCGGCCAAAAGAAATATTCGATTTTTCTGGCAAAGGGATAATGCAATTAGTCGTGAAAGAAGCTAACACCAAAGGGAGATAAATTAGTTAGTGACGCAGTTGTTTGCCAAGCATATTAATGCAATGGACGCATTGCAATTGAAAATTATTTTCTCCGCGACAACTGCAAATTATTCAGGCGTGGACTGCGAAACAAAGCACGGATAGAAACCCCATAAATCATCAACTTGAAAGGGAAAAAACAACGAAAAGAGAAAAAGCAATACAACAAAAATGTGCGATTTTGACTCAGCAACTTTTTATAAGAAGCCAAACTGGAATATTGAAAACAACACATGACAAATGAAAATGAAAAATGAATTTTTCTTAATCAGCTTCGATTCGGAATAACTTACGGTTGTGTCCTTTAAAACTTAGGTTCGAGTTGGTTTGCTAAGATTATGATTTCTGACAATATTGAAAGTAAACGTCTACAATGAGAGAAGAGTTTACGAAAACCATTTCGCCATCAGAAAATCTGCCATTTAGCCGACACACTCTTCAGGGTATATATCTTGACCCTAAGTCATTCGCTCCGTATTCTTTTGGTAAGTAAGACGACCAACTCCGAACGCTTCTCCCCAAGAACTGATACTTCATGGAACAGACAGACACTCGCGTTGCTCATTCCCCGAACAATCTTAACTTCTTCAAGTCTCGCGTCAATCGCTATCTAGCCACCATATCATCGTAATCTTCACTTCCTACTTCGTTCTATCGGGTTCATAATACGCATCCCATTCAATAACCCTCTGCCTTGAGTGGCTCTCGGACCTTGTATTGGGTGAAAATTAGTAACATAAAAACGAAAGAAACAATTGAAAAATAGGAAAGAATGAATTAATAAAAGAATGAAACGATAGCAGAAAGAGTGTGTAGCGTCAGTCGCAATAGATAATTTCTTATAAACGGATTGCTTATTTTAAAAAGATCATGTAGCTGAAGAAGGTTTTACTATAGTTATCTTAGTGCGATAAGTGTGCAGTACTCAGTGTGACTCAAGCTAGCTACAGAGTGAATTGTCTGTCGAGTCTAAATTGATAACCACCACTCTATACGAGGCACTTGATTTCTATTTACGAATAAATAAGATTGTCTGTGTATCTGTGTGTGTGTGTGTGTGTGTGTGTGTGTGTGTGTGTGTGTCTGTTTAAATTATTGTCCATTCTCCATTCTGTTTTCTCTTTACAAAGTCTGAGTAATCTTATTTGATCTCTCTGTCTGAGTTCTTCGTTTTTGTTTCTGTAAAGTGCATCAAATAGAATCAATAAATGGAAAACAATACAATAAAACCTTCGTTGAAGGACCGGGAAAAAATGTCCCACCCAAACACGTCTTTTCATACGACGTCCACTAAAAGCTTACGAATAAAGATGATGTCTGTACAGGTAGGGTGAAGCGATCGAGGTCGGTGTGAATCAGGGACACCGGAAGTCGTCAATCTATCTCATCTGCTTCCGTTTCGGAAGCCACCGTTTTTATAACCCCTGCTGTGTGCGTATTCTTTTCACTAGAGTTTAATTCATTCTTTGTCTCTCCAGAGATAAAGCACACACTGGAATGTATTTCTTCTTGCAAGATCACTGATATAAATCCATAATGATTTTTTTCTCTAAGTTTAAGGAATCTTATTTTTATAAGGTATCTTTGGAGCAAGATTGAATTAATTCTTTTTAAAACTCGAGGTTTTATATAGCAACCTGAATAATGCGCGCTAATGTTTCTAAACTTCTTTGTCTATACGCGACTTTTGAAAGTCTAGCTTGATATAAATAGTAACATACTTGAATATTCAAACAGACGTTTTGTAGTGTCAATTAGTGAAAATGCTATTTCAAACTGTAGACCTAAGTTCAAACATAACTAAGCTAAAGTGGAGATTTATTGAATGTGGTACCTATATCTAGGTCTGCTGCTAAGAAAATTGGTTTACTGTGTCGTACTAGACAATTTTTTTCTCCTGAATCTATCTTACATATTTATATCTACTATTCATCCATGCTTTGAATATTGCTGCCACGTATTGTCCGATGCTCCTGTTGTATATTTAGAAATTCTTGATAAAATGGAAAGAAGAATCAGCAATATTATTGGTCCTGACTTCGCGTCTCGGCTTCAGTCACTTTCCCATCGCCCTAATGTAGCTCTCCTGTGCCTTTTCTATACATACTTTGATGGTAATTGTTCGTCTAAAGTGTTCGCTATGGTACCTTGACTTACTGAATTTAAGCACAGAACTAGATAGGCAAAAAGGTCCCATAAATTTACAGTTGAATTGGCTAGATGTAACCGTACATTCTATGCTAACAGTTTTTTTCTTATACTTTTCTCTCTTCTGCCTGCATGATTTCCAGCCAACTTTGATCTTCAAAAATTTAAATGCAATTTTAGTCGTTATCTGCGGTCTTCTTGAGTACTCTTTTATTGATCTTGCTCCTTAATAAAGTTTCTTTTATTTTTTTTTCTTATTCTTTAACACTCAGTAACGCTTTGGGTGTTGGTGTTTTTACTGTCTTGCATGGGATATGATTTAAAAAAAAAGTAAGTTCAACTGAGCAAGTAATATTCGAAAGCCTCACAGACGAACATTCCTACACATACAGAACTAGCTAGACATAATATTCTTTCAGTGACATTATTAACTCGCCAAGATATTTTCACTTACACCGAATAAATTATTAAACCACTTTAGTTCTTTCTCCGTTTGTTTCAACTCATCTTATTCATTTCTCCGCCATTGCTTTGATCTTTCACTCTAATTAATTCGTCGGTAGCCTACAACCAAATTTCGGTTAGTACTGACTAGTTAATCCAACTTAGCTGCAGTCGTTTTCTATCCCTACCCTTGAGGTAGTTATTTTCCAAGCATAGCTTAGATGTGGCACAAGGCCGAAAGTATGGGGCATCTAGTGAGGATCGAACTCACTTTTCAGTTGTAACGGATCTAGCGAGACAAGCTTGCTAACCATTACACCACGCCGAGGGGCCCATCCCTACCCTTGAGGTAGAAGCCAGCGCTTCCATGTGTTCACTTTATAAGACCAGTTGTTACCATAGACAAAAACCCAATAGGATTTTATAGCCACATGTCTACACAGGGCGCTTGGTAGTTATAGCTTTAAAACTTATTACATTAAACCTGCTAAATAGTTTCACATTGTTGCATGAATAACATATTACAGAGAATTATATTTCATCAAAACGTGTCACTGTAAATTTTGAGGTTAAAATAATGACTGAGTGTAAAATGCACATTCGAACAACGATTATGTTTGTATATTTGTTGTAGCGCATCGTGCGGACAGTAACAGTTTTTTTGTTGAATTTTTTTTTACCAGGTGGCTACAAAAGAAGGTCTAACAAACGGAGGGAACTCCCGTTTTAGAGCATCTTTTCTTTTGTTTCTGAAAAGGAAGTTTTTTTTTTTGTTTTTTTTCCAGTAGTCATCGCCATGAATTTCTGTCAAATTTTTCTGTGGCCTACTGAAGGTATTTGAACCTTGGTGAGATATCTATATCTATCTCTCTCTCTCTATCTCTCTCTCTCTCTATCTCTCTCTCTCTCTCTCTCTCTATATATATATATATATATATATATATATATATATTACCTATGCTCTAACCCAAAAAGAAGGAGAGGAACATGGTGAATATGTAAATTTGATTGATTGATTCGTTTTCTACGGCTTATCAACCCTTTCCAGGTTTATTTAAAGCTAGAAAATATTTTTAGATTGTAAGAATTTTCTGGCGATAATAATGATTTAGTGATACAAGTCTTACTAATTAACCCATAGTTGGGGGAAAGATAAGAGATACATACCTTTCCCAAAGGTATTTGAACGTAATTAAATATAACGAAACCAACGGATATTTGAACTCAGCTCTCCAATTAATAATTTCGAGCCGTTATCGATTACACCACGCAAACATTCAAGCTTACAGCATCTGGTGTTCCCAAGCGGTAACCCATGTAGGTACTGACCATGGCTGGACGTTACTTAACTTCGGTGGTCGTGCGGGAACCGGTGTTTCAACATGATGCAGCCGTAAGCCTAGTTGTAAACTTATGCGTTTTTCTTGAAGTTCTTGTTTGTAAATTATATCAAAATCTTCCTTTTCCATAAAGGAGTCTTTTGACTATCTCTTTTTCCAGCTTAGGCATCAGAAGATAAAACTCAACCTCGGTAGTTAAGTCTTGGACTGCTTCCAACTTACGCGAGAGCCATTGAGTTGAAACACGGATGATAAGTTCGAGGAAGGTGGATAACTTTTTTCTTCAGTCTTATTTTCAATAGTTCCGTGGCCTTAGTAGATCATATATTACATACTAGCGTGACGCGACTACAGACGTGTCATTCATAAAACAGTCTGGTATGAAGTCGCTACACACACTTATATATATATATATATATATATATATATATATATATATATATATATATATATATATATATATATATATATTGCATCTTCAAAAGGTTTCCATGGAAAAGCTTTTCAACGGTGTAATCAATCTTTTATTTTAAAGATGGCCTCTGGTAAAGCTTTCCCTCAGAAATATATAAATAGATGAATAAAAGTTTCAAAGACTATTTTCTGAATCCGGTTTTCACAAGTCCGCTCATCAGGATTAAGATAAATAAATTAAACTAATAATGCCCTATTTCTTAAAATTTGGTTACTTAGTTTATCGAATATACTTGACTTGAAAGATTATTACTACGTCACTTAAACATCGAAAACTAAAAATGAACAAAAAATAAAAACAAGTAAATAAAATAAAATAAAAGAAAAAGAAAAATAAATAAGTAAAATAAATTAGCCCAAATCAATAAATATATAGATAAAGTAAATAAAATATAACAACGTAACAAACTACAAAGGCACACACAAACACAAGTAAAGGTAATAATAACAAACAACAATATTAACAGAGCAAACAATAATAAAGTTAACAAAGAACACTATAAAATAACCACACAATTGCATTCGCATCCACAATTATCCCCACTTAATTGTCCCTATAAAAATTTGAAACATAACAGTTATGCCCACCCAATAACCGCTAGAATAATACAATAGACCTACCCATAGCCTGGCGATTGCGTTTAAGCATGAAACAGACTCACACCGCTGAATTTTGACCTCGATGTCCCCTTGTACATACGCTCTGCCCCTGATATTGAGCACTTTAACCCATAAATATGTCATACCTCCAAACTATAATTTTCATTGTGTGTGTGTGTGTGTGTGTGTGTGTGTGTGTGTGTGTGTGTGTGTGTGTGTGTGTGTGTGTGTGTGTGTGAAGATTACTTAACATTTAAATATCAATTTTATCCCGACATCGATGTTTATTGGTAAAATTTCCAGTCTTTCGGGATTGTGACTTCAAACGGTATTTCCATTTTTTTTTTTTTTTCACTTTGTTCCACGTCTTTTTCAATCGTTTTTTTTTTTATTCCTTTTTGTACACGTTCGTATTCATAAATTTAACGTTTTTTTACACACGCCCATTCATGAAATTTTGCTTTTGTTTACCTCTTTCATTTTCTCAGATTTTTCTTCCAGTTGTAAATTTTTCCTTCGAAATTAAATTAAATTTTTTTATGGTTTATATAGAAGGTATCATGACATGTTTTATTATTAATTAAATTATAATATTTGTTAATCTTTATTATAAATTAAATTACAATATTTTAATTCATATTTTAATTAATATTTTAATTAATTTATTATGTCATCTTATTATTAAAGTTACAAAGTAAATATTTGTTAATATGTCGGCATCGACCCCTTATTTCATTCTTCTTATTTAATAATTTAATTATATATTCTGTGTATTTAGGGGGCAAATGTTCTTTCAGTCAAATATTAATGATCGACTTATTTAAGTTACAATAATCCATCTCAGAGGAGAAGTAAATTCCTTTAGAAATCGTGCGAAGTTCATTTAGGAAGAAAAGTACAAAAAAATATGATCCAAGCTATCGACTTTTGTAAGTCATCATCAGGGCAGTTAGAGACAATTGGTTATTTTCTTAGAACTAGTGAGTGTTGTGACATTGTAACATAGGCAACAAGTGTTATAAGGGAGATGTGACGCATGTTTTTTTTGTTTTTGTTTTTGTTTTTTGTTTTGTTTTTATATACATTTGAGGATGCATGATCTTAAGTTATAATAGCTTTGTTGTTTTTGTTTTGTGAATATTGCTTCAAGTATTATAAGTGTGTTTTTACCATTTGATTTTGCTAGCATTTTGGTGTTGTCTGTGAATAGCTGTCTCAATTTGTGGCGGAATTTCCTCCTCGTCTGAGAAAATTATTATTCGTAATTTGGAAAAGTCAATCATTAAAATTAATTAACACAAAATATCTGTTGTTTTTAATAGTTATAATAATAATTTATGAACACCAAAAATCTGCAACTTCTACGGGAAGGAAAATGAAAGAAAATGGTATGAACACCACCCAGACCCGGTTACGGAGATAGGACCTGTTACAATTCTATGGGACTACACAATACACACTGACAGAACAATCAAGGCCAACTGCCCAGATATTGTTATTAAAGACCACAAACAAAAACGGTGCCTCCTTATTGATATGGCAGTCCCTGCTGACTGCAATGTATCTTTGAAGATATTCAAAAAGCTGTCAAAATATAAGGACCTTGAAATAGAAATCTCGAAAATGTGGCATACGGGAACATCAACAAACCTTGTTGTAGTTGGAGCCCTAGGACTGGTTGGAAAAGATTGCAGTAGACTAATTGAAGGGATTCCTGGAAGTCCATGCCTCAAGGAGATGCAAAAAGTTGTTCTGACAAGTACAGCCCACACTTTACGAAGGGCTTTATCTATGTAATTTTTTTTTTTTTTTTTTCAGTGGAAAGTGTCATGACGCTATTTCTAACCTTAGGTCCCTGGGCGGGACCCGGAAAGAAATGTGTAAACGCCAGAAATCAAAGAAAATAAAAATAATAATAATAAACAAAACGGTTGACAAATCTTCCAATATTTTTCAACAGTTAAGAGAAGACCGTAATTTAAGAAAAGAAAAAAACACAGTATTTGACAATATTTCAACAGTATCTCTGTCTTCTTCAAGTTAAATTTAAACAATTTTTTCAAGTATAAAATATATAAATCTACAAAAAATTATTATAAGTCTTTGTACAACCGTTACTTGTCTTGTAGTGAAAAATGGCTGTACTAGTAACGTGTCAAAACGAATAGAAAATGGCCAGGGTGAAGGCAAACAACTGAAACGTACTTAATATGATGATGATGATCTTGTTCATCATGAAATGTTCCGTTAGTTGATTAGTTACTAAGAGGATACAACGTAGTATAAATCTTATGGAACTCTTCTGTCATCCTGTTTATTCCCTCCGAGCCTGGAAGTTAGTAATTTGCTTACGTAACTGTCCTTATACATTTTAAGAGTCGACAATAATAATAATAATATATAAAAAATCCCAAATGTTAGTACGACCAACAGTCTACCTTTTTTAAAAGCAATTCACCCCAAACAAGGCGGGAGTGCCACTAGCATGCAAGGGGTTACAGTGGATTTAGAACAAGATTAAAGAGGTGTGTTTGACGAAAGGATAGAAAAGCACGGGGAACAAGGTCAAGCTATCAGATGTCGATTGACATTACACTTGAATATTTGAAGATTATAGTCATCGAAGAAGCAAACAAGAGGAAGGGAGTCCACAGATGGGAAGTCCAAGAGAAGAAGCTGTTTGAGTAGAAGAGACGGTTACATTTAACCGTTTTGACATTGAAAGGTTTGGACCAAGAGGCCAGTCTGGTAGCTCGTTTAAATTCATACAGTTTGGAAACCAGCGGAAGTTGCTCATCAGAACAGTTGCCGAGAAAATAGTTGTAGAAGAGACAGAGGGAAGCCACGGCACATCTGTGAGAAAGCGACTGTAGACTAGAAGCAAGATAAGGACTTATCACATTGCATATTTGTCTCTGGATTTTGTCGAGAACCTCGAGACGTACAGCGGGAGCAGCATATATGACAGCAATGTTCCATGCAAGGACGGCTGGTTGATTTATAGATTTGAAGGATGGAATCAGACGGAAAAACTTTCTGGCGCGAGACAGAGAACCAATTTTCCTTAGGGCAGATGAGGCTATTGATTCAATGTATTTATTCCAGCTCATGTCAGTGGACAGCGTGAGACCAAGCAGGCGTAACGCGGCACTCTCGAGGAGTTGGGAATCAGCCATTCTGGTGTGGGGCAACGAGGGTTCTCTGGGGTGGGTAAAGGAGGGCAGTTTTGTTCTGAAGGCATTAAAATTTACAAAGCCATTTCCTGCCCCAGTCAACCACAGACTGGAGGTCCTTTTCGAGATCAGCAGCCAGGTTAGTTTTGTCAACGATACCAGATTTACTATTGAGGCAAGAGTAAATAGCAGTGTCGTCCGCGAAGATGGCTACTTGGGAACTGATGACATCGGAAAGGCCATTGATGAAGATCAGGAACAGTGTAAGGCCCAAGATAGAGCCTGCCAAAAGGGCTAAAAATAAAATCCTTAGACATGAATAAATCTCAATCACTACTTATGTTCCACGCCCTTGCGATCTTCAGGTGACTAGAATATATATATATATATATATATATATATAGCAGGAGGATGGTACCAAGTTGCGGGACCAATTTGGGAAAGATTTAAAAAAATAAGTTAAATGTAAACAGGAATTATTTCTATAAGACTTCCGATTCGATCTCTAAGCTAAGTATTTCAGAGATATAAGACTTAAATGTCATTCAAGGTAGCGGGTTACTGAATGGGGATGTTGAAAATGTTACTCTTTGACAATGTAATGAACCAAATTAATATTTGTACACCGGCAAACAAGGTTCTGTAGGCAAATTTCGTCTGGACGCCCGCCAAGATGGTAAAGAGCAGCACTTGCAGACCGCATAATGCCCAAGGCACATATCAGAGCATATGTTGCCCCAGCAGTGTTAACGCGGCTGTTTGGGAATCGATTAATTGTAGCAATTCTACGCTGAGGCCAACTTGCCTAAAACACGCTAGGCATGAATAAATACGCCCCACCCCCAACTTTCAATCCAGATATAGAACTGTCGAGGCACTCAGTTGGACAGCCACCCTATAACCACGACCGGTCATGGGACTGATAATGAAGATCAATATCCAGTCCTAAAAGTAGGTTCTGTCTTTATGCCACTGAAATATTCTTGTGTGAAACATTGTAAAGGATATCTTAAGTATATTTGCCTTTGACAAACAAATCAAATGTCTGGCATTGTATTGTAATGTGCCTTTGTCTGGGTTAATATTCCACCCGTTATTCAGATAGTCATAGAAAAGGATACGCTGCTCCGGAAGTATAATACCTGCCTACACGTTACCCGTGCTGTTCATCATGTTCTATAAGATGTTCGACAACTTTCTTGAATAGCATTATTGTCAGAACTGTTGGTAATTAAATATGTTTTTGATATAATGGGATAATCCATTACTTATTCACTCCATCCGCCTGTAACTAAGAGAGTACAAACTTGTGTTATGGTCTAAGGTAGATATACAGTGTACGAAGTTTGATAAAAAAGTATCGGTACTGTTGCTATTGTACCGGAGCTAAAGTACGCAGAGTGAAGCCACTTGGTACAGATTGACCTTGAACTTTTTCACGCATACACACTTCTGTTGTTTATAAGGAGTGCTTGGAAAGAAAGAGTGTAAAGTGTACACCACTTATATTCCATCAGTGACCATGGTTTGTGCAGCAATTTTTGGCTAAGACCACATTCTCCAGGTTCGAAAATCATCATATTCCCCAAATTTTGCCTCTTTTCCTCTTTCAAAAATCAAGACAAACGTGTAAAGAAAAAGATTTCAAGACGTCGAGGCAATCCAAAATAATGCAACGCGGTAATTGCTCGCGATCCCAAAGAAAGGATTTCCAGGAATAATTCCATGAATGGAAACAACGATGGATAAAATGGACGGCTTCAGAAGAGAGCTACTTCGAGGGAGATTAAATGCTGAATTGATATATGTTGTAAGTCTTTTTTTTTATATATCACCAGTCTTGAATCGTTTTGATCAGACCTCGTATTCATATGTAGCCGGAATATTGCTGAAGTACCACATTTTTTTGGAATCTATGGACGTACTGATCTGTATGTGTGGTCCCGAAAACCATTTAATCTTTAGTAAATTGGAACACTATTCATGGTACTGAAATTTTATTTTTTATCGGGATAGATAGATACATAGATAGATACATAGATATGAACAGAACCAGAGATAGATAGATAGATAGATAGATAGATAGATAGATAGATAGATAGATAGATAGATAGATAGAAGGCTTAAAGATATAGTTTGAACATAGGAACCAGCAGTGCATAGTTACTGTCAATTTCATACCTCAGTATGATCACATTAAGAACTCAAGATGTCATTGAGACCTGAAACTTAGTCACCGTGCATGTTGATTCCTATTACTACACCATTCTTATCCAGAAGCACACTAGCACACTGTCTTTGATGTCGAGCACACTTCTCCTAAAAATATACCAAATCTTAATATAATTCATTATTCACTGTTTCAACGAATTCTGATATCCGTTAAACATCCCTTATTTTAAAATTGTAGTTAAATAAAACCTATTCTAACCTAAACATCCAAAAAAAATCTTTAAGTATACAAGTAGAAAAAAATGCCGAAAGAATTTTTGCCGTTAACAATAAAATAAAAACAGACGACATGCATTTAACAGATGTCACAATTCGTTGAAAAATACATCCCTACCCTCCCTAAACTTTTTTTTCGAACTTAACTAATAACTGAGACAACAAAAGTTAATAAAAATGGACACGCTCCAACCCCTTGTCTGAATGATTGGATTTCTCTGTATCCTTGGAAACAGTGAATTATGAATGTTTGTGTGCGTTTAAAACTCAGTAAATTTTTTAAAAAAATAAGTTAATCCAATATTCGCTTGAAGATGAAATGGAACTAATATTTTTAATTTAATTGCAAAATAAAATTTGAAGTTTTTAGCTTCTATTTTTGAAACATGGTTATTACTGTATAGCGAAAAAATCATATTTTAAACCAGTTAATTTATAATATTTATGCTCTGTAAATTTACATTGAGCACTATTTTGTAAAAATAAAAATATCAATAAGAACACCGGATTATATATATTACTGTTCTTTCTTTATATATATATATATATATATATATATATATATATATATATATATATATATATATATATATATATATAATTGAGCGTGAATCAATAAGTCGTAGTGGTTATTAGCTGAACAGACATCTAATAGATTCCGTACACAATTTTTATTTTCTCTGAATGAAATTTTTTGGTAAAAAATGTAGATTTATATTGAAAAATGCATATTTTTCAAATAGATAGATAGATAGATAGATAGATAGATAGATAGATAGATAGATAGATAGATAGATTATGTATATGTTAGAACTTTTAAGATACAATGCAAAAAACATCTATGTCTATTCCGTAAGCAAACATGTCAAAAACTGTTAAAGAATTATTATATCATGAGAAATTTAAGTGTTTCCCATTACACCTAATGTGCCGCTGAAAGATTGAACGTTTGTGTCAAGAAAAATATCAAGTTACTTCAACCACTAAAGAGGCGAAACCGCCTTGCTAAATAATGAACAGCATAAAACTGGGTGTTTTTTGCATGTGTAATTAATATGCATTAACGGCCATGTGAGAGATAATGACTGCTGAAGCCGGCAAGCGATTTGCAAGATTTATTACACAGACTGTTGATGTAAGCCATTGATTGTAGCTTACATCCACGTTTGTGCCTCCTGGGTTCACTGGTTATTGATTTTCAAGTGTCTGGTCAGTCCAGGTTGACTGAAACAGGACTTTAATGCGGTGTGTTAACATGATAAGAAAGTGATGAACCTGAAAAAAAATTGTAGCTACATCTGGGTCACATTATGTGACGTATTATGCTTGTGAAGAACAAATACAATTTGCATTTTTCTTTAATAAGAAAAAATTACGGAAATTTAAGCTGGTAGACGAAAATAAATATAGTGTTTAATAAACGGATCGCCTACTCAAATACGAGTATCAACTAAAAATAACGTTTAAATTGATATATATATATGTGTGTGTGTGTGCGCGCGCGCGTGTGTGTGCGTGTGTGTGTGCGTGTGTGTGTTTTATAGTATGCTAGATTTGTGGGTAAAAGTCATCAATATCAGGGATAGAACATGAGTGATTATAAAAGTGGAAACAGAAGTCAAAACCGAGTGGCGACAGTCTGTTCTTAGTGTCCACTTACACACACACGCACACAAAGAGATAAATAGATATATAGATAGCGTAAATAGATAAAGACAGAAAAGCTGTGCGAATCTTTTAAAAGTATGAAAATTAAATGATCCTAATACATGTCTTGCGGGAACTGCTCAGCAACCTTGACATATTCGGGAAAGATATCAGAATAATCAAGAACCTATACTGGCAGCAAACGGCATGCATACGCATAGGGAACAAGGTCAATGAATATAAAAAAATAGAAAAGATGCGTAAGGCAAGGATGCGTCTTCTCACCTGACCTGTTCATTCTATACAGCGAGACAATTCTGAGAGTTGGAAACCCTACTGGAATTTTGCGTTGGCGGCCACAATCCCAACAACATAAGATACGCAGATGACACAGTACTGATAGCAGACACAGAAAAGAAATTACAAATATAGAAAAGAAAGGATTAAGTATAAACAAGAAGACGGAATGCATGGTCATCAGTAAGAGGATGAGCCGGGAATGCGATTTGCAGGTCGATGACATTAGAATCAAGCAGACGCGAAAGCTTAAATATCTGGGAAGCGTTTTGACAGAGAACGGTAAGTGCGACACCGAGATCCGGAGACGTATTGGGATGACCATGCACGCATTCCAAAAGCTGGACAGAGTATTGCGAGACAGGAGGATTTTTTTGGAAACAGAGAAAAGGATACTGAACTGTTAGGCGACATCTGTGTTTTTTTACGGCAGCGAATGCTGACGATTTCATCAAGGATGATGAGATTCGAGGCGACGGAATGTGGTCCTACAGAAAGATGCTAAGGATACCATGGATCGAGCGTGTGAGCAACGACGTGGTCTTAGAGAGGATCCAAACAATGAGGAGGCTTATACTTAACATCAGGAAGAGACAGCTGAATTTTCTGCGACACATAATCAGGAAAGAGGACCTTGAGCATCTGATACTCACGGGTCGAATAGTGGAAAAGAGAGACAAGGGAAAGCAGCACGTGACATTCCTGGTGGGCTTGAGTAGGTGGATGACAGAACGTGGTCTAGGGGAGATAGCAGAGGAAAGTAACTTGTTGAGAGTTGCAAGGGATAGAGGCATGTGGAGAGCTATGATCACCTACGTCCTGAAAGGATATGGCACATTAAAAAAAGGAAAGAATACATGTTTTAAACATCTTTTGTATTTCAATTTAGTCCTGTACGATTAATCTTAAAGAAATTATTTAGATTTTGATAAAATGCAAATATTAACCATGAGACGAACAGGAAGTAGAAAGGGATTGCGAAGACAATGAAGTTTTTGAATGACTTTCTAATCTAAATTTGGTCTCAGTTTCATCCCTAAAGCTAAGCAGAGTATTAAGAAATTCGAAGATTTCGTTAGAAACAAGAAAAATAGTACTAAACTGCTATGTGATATCTGTCCTCCTATATGGCAGTAAGCGCTGAACAAGACAAAGGAAGCAACAGAAATGTGATTCTACAGAAGGATGTTGATTATACTTTGGACCGAACATGTGGGTAACGAGGAAGTTTTGGGGAAAATGAAAACAAAAAGTAAAGTAAACTAATGCTTAACATTAAGAAGAGATAATTCAAGTTTCTAGTGCATATAATAAGGAAGGATGGCTTGGAAAATCTGATACTCTCGTGACAGACAGAGAGACAAAGAATAACAATGCATAATATACTTAGGGGGCTTGAGTAAACGGATGGCGGTACAGGGCTTAGGAGAAATAACAGAAAGACAAAGTTTATTAAGATTGACAGGATGTTGCGGAGAGCCATGATCGCCCACGCCCTGGGATGGGGCGGGGCACGGTACATGAAGAAGAACAATCGTCGTTTCAGAAAATGTTTGTTTGGCTGCTGGAATAGACTTTATTTCCTGAAATATCTTTCACGATATTTCCCTGGAGAATTTCGGTTCAAAACGAAAATAATGCTGTAATAAGCGAAATAACATAGGTACTGAAAACTTAAATATCTTCGGAAAAATACACAGACACACAAACACATAGATAGATAGATAGATAGATAGATAGATAGATAGATAGATAGATAGATAGATAATGAATAGATAATGATAGATAGATAGATAGATAATGATACCGATAGATAGATAGATAGATAGATAGATAGATAGATAGATAGATACATAGATAGATAATGAACCGACTATGATAGATAGATAGATAGATAGATAGATAGATAGCTAATGAACCGACCATGATAGATAGATAGATAGATAGATAGATAGATAGATAATGAACCGACTATGATAGATAGATAGATAATGAACCGACCATGATAGATAGATAGATAATGAACCGACTATGATAGATAGATAGATAGATAGATAGATAGATAGACACAAATACATGTGTGTGTGTGTGTGTGTGTGTGTGTGTGTGTGTGTGTGTGTGTGTGTGTGCAAGTATAAAGCATATGCCTGTAGCCTGTAGCATAGTAGATATCGGGGCAGCAAGTGAGATCGTCATTTTGTGTTCAAATTCCATTCGAGTTTCACTGTTACGCAGATACCCTTGACAAAGGCACGAGTGCATTTCTTCTCCCACCATTTATGAGTTAAATAACAAGGCAAAGTTGGTTCTTTAGCCACGGATGGGAACCAAACTAAGAGAAGGAAATTTCTAAATTTAAAACTGATGCTATGTATCTCTTTGGCTATCTATTGATCAATAATCGCACAAATACCTATGAGGTAGAATTATTGGTCCGAACCATAGGATATTTTCTTTTTAATTCTGGCATTTTTTTTTATTTAGTCAGAGGTCAGATTTTGAGATGTGATATAGGCCGAAGGCTTCAAACTGTTCAGAGACTTTGTAGAAAACTGCACACTGTTTTTCTGTTATCATTTCTTCTGAAAATTGTGACTGGATCTGCGGAAGCCTTCACCACGATATTGAAATCATATTTGGATAGGCAAGCGATTCAGTTTTATAACTGAGCTCTTATGTTCCCATAGGTCGAAATATGAGAGGAAAGACTGACTGACAGATAGATAGATAGATAGATAGATAGATAGATAGATAGATAGATAGATAGATAGATTACACTATTGCTATTCTATCGTTATTTCCATGGCAAATGTTCTGACGAGTTACATTCATTAGATCTACTATTTCTAATGTTTGCCGCTAACAACCGCCATGCGATATACACTGGAGCGAAAGATACCCATACCTTTGGTTATCTTATTAGTAAGAAGGGCGCTTCATTCGAACAACTTCTTCACACTAACGGAACGGACTCCTCGGAGGATACTTTCCCAGACACTTCAATATTAACCACTTCAGGTATGGGTCAAATTTTATCATTCCTGTATATCCTCATGAGCTGCACTACTTATAACCAATTTTTACGTAGATACAAAAACCTATTTTAGTAACCCACTAACTTGAGTCGCTTTTGAGCCTTATATTGCCTGATTAAGATAGATAGATAGATAGATAGATAGATAGATAGATAGATAGATAGATTTAGCTACGTTGATGCTTTTGTCTGATGATCGCAAAGGACGTGAAACTCAGGGTCACAAACTCACATCAATTAGCTATATCGCTGATATTGAGCGCTTTCCAATAAATATCGCGCATATGTAATATATAAATAATATATATAAAAATTGCATATATATATATATATATTATACATATATATATATATATATATATATATATATATATCGGTGTGTGAGAATAAAATGAGTTTCTTCAGAGATAAGTAATATAAGATCAAATCTGGTCTTAAAAGGCTTGGGAATGTACATAATATTAATGATGATAACTCGGGAACACAAACATCCAAAAGAATTTTGTTTGTCAGCAATGTAATAGAACTTTTAAATTCATTTCTAATTTTAAAGGTCAATGTAGAATCCTTGAGCGGACATCAGCAGCAGTAGTAGTTATGGTGCAGAGATGTTTGTCTTGATAATCAAGTTGGCAGCCGACATTATCTCTATAACGGTAATATATATATATATATATATATATATATATATATATATATATATATATATATATATATATATATTATATATATATATATATTTAAAGATATTTTTTAGTAGGTACAAATTTATATGATCGAAATAAAGTATAAACTTAATATTATGAGATATATTAAAAAAAAACATGTGAAATAAAAAGGAACTCGCTCCTTTCAATTCCAGGAGATTTAAAATTGACACAGTCAAATTTAAATAAAAGTTGAAGCCTAAAAGACTTTAGCGAAACCGGTTGCTTCACCATTTTTTTTTAATATGCCTCGTAATATTAAGTTTTATACTTTTATTTCGATCATATATATATATATATATATATATATATATATATATATATATATATATATATATATATATATATATATAAAAAGCTGAAAATGAGACTGATCTCATACGGAATATTTTAGAGTAAATTTACCGGTTTCACAGTTCTATGATTTTCAAAAGTTAACTTGAGGTGGAGAGACGTGTGGCTATAGCAGGATTTGTCTCACATCTCCAGCATCAAAATGCAAGACATATTTGGCATAGCTACACATTTTCCAATCTGAAAAATTCTTACTTTCCGATATATATATATATATATATATATATATATATATATATATACGTTTTATCCGACTTTATTTCTGATTACTATTTTAATACAAGTATTCGAGTTGTTTCTTCTTCTTCTTCTTCTTCTTCTTCTTCTTCTTCTTCATCATCAACAGTGAAATTAATAACAACGTACGTAGATTCAGGCGTCTTACTAAAAAGAGATTTTGTCTCCGACAGAAATCGAACCTGTCTATTTCTACCAGTGAAACCGTTTCTATAGACGGAACGTGCCTTTACCAATTCGGTCACGGAGGCGACGTAGGTAGAACAAGGTGTGAATTACCTATTTAATGATTGTACATCTCTGGCGGTGCAGGTTCTACCCATCTGTATCTGCTAGCTTCAGTTTCGTACCCAAAACCTAAGCCACAATTTTTTTAATGCAAAAATCGTAACGAATACAATGTAATATAAATGTTAACAAAATAACCATACTTAAACCTTTTTTGAGCAGTCAATGCTGTATTATGGGTAATAACGTATATTGTATTATCAATAGACTTTCTTACCCATAATTGGTGTTGACCTTTTTATATTTTATATTTAAATAAGCTCTATCTCTGATATTGAGCACTTTACCCATAAATATAGCAAACCTTAAAATTATATTTTGATCTATATATATATATATATATATATATACAGATGAGGGGAGGGTGAAATGTTCACAGTCTGACTCATTGAAATAATTATTTCAATGTCAGGTGTGTGCGTGACTGTCATCAAATAATCCGCAACCAACAGTACGGAACAGTTATTAATGTGCCAAATTCTACGGCTTTTGACTGAATATATAAGATGTCCAATTTGAATATCTCATCAAATAACCTATATTAATTTACACCTATTGGTACAGACTTTAATAAATGAGTCACTCTCCATCGTCGAATTCAACTCACCTTTGCCCAGAAGACTGAACTGGCATCCATCGTTTGCTTTCACAGTGGTGCCATTATCACAATTGTGGCGACAGTGGACTTAACTTTCGCAGGGTCAGACGAAGACGAGTTTTCCTGGGGCGGTTTTCGACTGATTGATTCGAAAAGTATGTACATCGGGTTTTTCCTTTTGCTAACACAAGTGCCACGTGGACTTTTAATCATGCATATTTCCTGAGGACAGTTTGTTTCTTTCGCATTGGATTCTCAAAACGCCATCAGTAGCATACTCGACCTTCACATTGGTTATAAGTGGATACGGTTAAGGAGCATTTCTTTTCATTTCGTGTAAATTTTCCCTTGGCCCACGGACTGTATTATAACATATATCATGTACGTATGAGAAGCATGAGGGTTATCGACAACAGAAATTAGGATCAGTGAGCGAGTTCATATTCCAGCTTCACAATAAACGTTAGCGTTTCCGTTGGATAGGTCGATTTTACTGTTTCTGCTAACCGAAATCCTCCTCTGTGGCTCAATCGGTAAAAGCACGTCAGGCTATATGACGGTTCTGTATAGGATACAGGTTCGATTCCTGTCGGAGGACGCATATTTCATATGACAATTTCTCGGACATTCAGGCCGATAAATGTTGTTAACGCTGTTTATTATAAACAGAGCATTTACTTAAATATTTGTATCTATAAAAAGAACGTATAAACATAAAAAAATGTCTGTATATATATATATATATATATATATATATATATATATATATATATATCTTTAAAAGTATTAAGTTTAACATTACAATGATAATGAGGGATAAAAAATAAAAAGCGGTAAAAACAATCGGTTTCGCTCCCGCTCATCAAAGTTTCTTTACCGGGAGAATTTAAAGTAAAACATAATAAACATATTATATTCATCCCTATGCTTGGCCGGCTTCGGAGATTTTTGTGGCCTATGCGGTGATTCCTTAGGTTTTCGTATTTTCCAGTGATGTTCTCTGTCCCTTGTTTTAACTTCATCCCACAGAGGGCGGTAATCTCCTTTTCTTTTCCTTCCATATGCTTTCATCTTTATACTCCTGCTGAAGAGTGATTGAAAGACCATTGCTAATGTGATGGGTTCAGTCATCTGGGAAATTGAATCTTGCTAGTTGTGTAATTGTTAGCAAATTGAAAAGACAATTCGGAGTCCCGAGTTCGAATGCCGGTTGTTTATGTTCACTTTCGTCCAAATAGCCTTGGGACAGGCACGAATGAAATAAATAACCGGGATTAATGGGCAATCTTGCAATGAGATGGCAATAAGTCAGACGAAAATAAAATAAGCATAATTTAAACCCAGCCTGAAGAGAGAGAGGACCCAACTTATCCTACAAGAACACACGCCAACGCGTAACTTAAATGTAAAGGGGAGATTCTCGGACTAAATTAGAAAATATTTCGGGGATCGTACGGGGACCGGTGTTTCAAGTAAGTACATCCTATGATTGATTTTGCTTTGTACGTGTGTTCAGAAAGATGTCATTTTTCAAATAGGATTTTAAGTAGGAAAATCGAAAGTAATTCAAAAAATCTTGCTCCAGATTCACAGAAAATTTATGTATCCCTCCTTTTTATTATGAGTTATTTTATTGCGACTTATTTAGATGAAGGAAATAGAAACTTGAGGAAATAGAGATGTGGTTCTACAAAAGGAATGCTGAAAATAAAACACACACGGAGCATGTGTGCAACGAAGAAGTTTTAAAAGAAATGAGCACAAAAAAAGGAAACTTGCACCTAGAATCAGAGAGAAGACAGTGGAAATTTGTGTGACACATAATGATTAAAGAAGGCTTGGAGAATTTGAAACTCAAAGCAAGATAACCAGGAAAATCAATGAATAGACTACTTAACGAATGTACACAGATGACAGAACAAGAAAAAGAGGTGTAGTAAAATGGCTACTTTGAGCAACAAAAGACAAAAAAAAAAAGAGTCTAACAATCTCTATCTATAAAAGGCAGGATGTGTGTGTGTGTGTATGTGTGTAACGAATGCACGGCCGCAATTTTCGACGGATTTGCACCAAAATTTACATGCACATGCTCCAAGTTAGCGGAAAGGCCAAGACCGACGTTACATTTCCCAACTCCCATCAATAGTGGAAATAATCGATTTTTTTCATGCTTCTACGGCTGTTTTCATGTAGTTTGTGGCCATTTTCTATTGGCCAGAGGGAAAGCCTATAGCTGGCTGCCACGAATAGGCAAGAAGATTTTTAAAATAAAAATATTTTAAGTCAAGTGATAGCGATTGCTGTATGAGTCGTACGATTTTTGAATCAAGCACGGGCAACGCCGGGTCATGCTGCTAGTAATGAATAAGATCTCGACGACATATCCCTAGACATTGTCACCGGAAAGTGGATAATCAACTTCCGTAGATTAAAGAAAGGGTTGAGTTCGAAAATTCCTATAAGTTACACGGATCGACAATCACCGGATGAAGGTCAGAGGGCAAAAGTAGGAACATTTTGTTAATAACAATAGAGATAAGGACAATAATACACATTTAAACAATCCAAATAAAAGACAAAATGTTCACAGTGCATAAAATATATGCCAGTTCTAATACTTCGTTCTTAAGATAGCTGCAGAGTTCTTATTGGCGCTAGTCTTCGATGTATAGACTTAGGTTAAAATATATTGTGAATTACGCTTGCGCATGCCCGCTGTTCAAATTGACCGAACTTTTTTGGTCGGAGCCCGCGCACACACTCACGCACACAAGCGTTCGCCCATTTTCTTATCCGACTTGAGAAAGTTAATGTATTTTGGCAGAGTCTAGTAAACGTTACTCACACTAGAGTCAGGTAGGTAAGTAGGTAAGTAGGTAGACAGTTGACTTAGTGTGAATAGGCATGTTACTGTGTGATGTATGTGTGTTATCTATATTTTCTTTTCTTCTTCCAAGGCATTGTAAATGCTTTTAGAGCTTCGGCGT